AGGGAGGGAGGGGGAGAGGGGAAAGGAAAATGAGTTGATTCCAGGAACCCAAGTGGAAAGCGAATTTTGAGAATGATGAGGGCAACGAATGTATAAGTGTGCTTTACACAATTGATGTATGTATGGATTGTGATGAGTTATATGAGCCCCAATAAAATGATTTTAAAAAAAAAAGTAAAACTGACCAAATTGCTCATTTTTCATTCTCAACACTCCCAGAAAAACAGAAAGCAGTTCCAATGCAGACTTAATACAGGCACAACTCATTGTACTGCTCTTTGCTTTAATGCATTTCATAGATACTCTATTTTTACAACTTGAAGGTTTTGGGCAGCCCTGCATTGAGTAAGTCTATTGGCTGTGTTCACTTCATGTCCCTGCATCACATTTTGTTAATTCTCAAAATACTTCAAACTTTTTCATTTGCTCCTGCATATTTAATAGATGATAGTATAGCACAGAAAGTACTTTTATATGTACTAGGAAACCAAAAAAATTAAAGTGATCTGGAACCAAACTGAAAATATCTCCAAGATAAATCTGTATATATCACATGACTTTCCAATACCATATTTACAACATGACTTATAGAACTTTACTCCATTCTTACATACACAAAAAGATATCTTATACACGCACACAACTATCTAATGATCAAAAAATTCAAAATATACATTGACAACTAAGCCGAGGATCAAATAATTCATTACTACAAATTTATTTTAAAAATTAATCCGTGTGATAAACTAACCTCTCTTTCGTTGATTAGTTGACTGTGCCTCATCTTCACTGACATTTTCACCAGAGACATCTAATTTTGTTTCCCGATTTTCTTTGCTTTCATTGTTGCTTCTCTTGTCAACCTTCTCTTCTTTTTCTTTTCTACTTTGTGGTTTCTTATTTCCTTGACTAATGACACTCTGACTCTGCAAAAAGGGTTTCTAAATGAAATTATTTTCATCAGAACTTTCACTAACATAACTTTGTGGTAATATACCTTTCCTGTATACTAAAAACAAAAAAAATTTCCTTCACCCAAAGAAGCTACTTTTCAACAGACAGCATTTTTTAAACTATAAATTCAGACTCATAAAAAATACCTTCAAAGTAGCTGATTAGGGTTGTATCCAGAATATATCATAAACTCTTAAACTCAGTACTACTAAAGGCTCAATTATCTTTCTTAAATGAGCAAAGAGTTGAACAAACACTTCAAAGAAGTTGCTAATAAGTAGCAAAAAAGCACGTGAAAACTGTTTGAAATCATAAATACAAATAATGGCAATGCATTATCACTGCATACCTAGTAAAACAGTTAAAATGACAGAGACTTACCATGCCAAATACTAGTGTGGGTGTAAAGGAATTCTCATACACAATGCTGGTGGAAAAGTACTTTCAAAATTTCTTATATTTTAATAAACATTGCTGTAAGATTTAGTCATTCTAACTTTTAGGGATTTAACCGAAGAAAAATGGAAGCATGTATCCCTGTAAAAATCTGTACACTCAAGTCTATAGCAGCATAATACGCAATAGCAAAAATATTAAAGCAATGTAAATAATGTTTACCGACAAACTTGCTCCATCCAAAATGGGCTTAGGGTCTCCACTCCACATTCACAATGATTTTTTATTCTTTGATGCCTGATACCTGATCCTATTGACATCTCGTACACTCAAGTTTATAGCAGCATAATACGCAATAGCAAAAATATTAAAGCAATGTAAATAATGTTCACCCACAAACTTGCTCCATCCAAGGAAAGAACTACTGAAACACACAACATGAATAAGTCAAGGCAATTATGATGTGCCTAAGTCAAAACTAAAAGAAAAAGGTGTGAAGAAACTTCTGAAACTAATGAGTAAGCTCATTATCTTGACTGTGATGATGCTACCGGTACATACAAGTGAAAACTTATCAAATTGTAAACTTTATATATGTGCACTTTGTTGTATGCCTTTTATCTCTCAAATTATTTACACAGATAAAAAATTTTAACTACACACCAACAATACTGCATAAATTGCAAAGATCAAAGTGTTTTATGCCAAAGAAAAATATGTAATCATATAACCATATGGTACTCCTCTGAAAAAGTCCTTTGATGGACTATTTTAGAGCCAATGTTCAGTTTAATTTCTAGATATATTTAATTGCAATGGATTAGTTTAAATAAATATATATAAATTGCTGAGTATAAAACTGATGATTAGGGTGTTAAGCCTTCATCTAACAACAAAAAGAAAACATACACATACGTAGTAATATAAAATGGGCTTCATTTAGGTACATTATATTTAAAATCAATGTCTTTATTTGTAAGGATGACGTAAATGTAACAATAAGCACTCCAGAGAAACAATGCCCACATGGAAGAAGCACACCAGCCTGTGTGATAAAGAGATGTCAATAGGATCAGGTATCAGGCATCAAAGAATAAAAAATCATATTGTGAATGTGGAGTGGAGACCCTAAGCCCATGTGCAGACAAGCCCATGTGTAGGCAACTGGACATCCCCTTACAGAAGGGTCACGGGGAGGAGACGAGCCAGTCAGGGTGCAGTGTAGCAACAATGAAACATACAACTTTCCTCTAGTTCTTAAATGCTTCCTTCCCCCCATTATCATGATCCCAATTCTATCTTATAAATCCGACTAGACCAGAGGATGTACACTGGTATAGATAGGAACTGGAAACACAGGGAATCCAGGACAGATGAACCCTTCATGGCCAATAAGGAGACTAGCGATACCAGGAAGTAAGGAGAAGGTGGGTAGAAAAGGGGAGTCAATCACTAGAACCCTGTCCCTGGGGTATGGACAACAAAAAATGGGTGGAGGGAGATGTTGGACAGTGCAAGATATGACAAATAATAATTTATAAATCATCAAGGGTTCGTGAGGGAGGAGGGGTGGGGGAAGGAGGGGAAAAAATGAGAAGCTGATACCAAGGACTCAAGTAGAAAGCAAATGTTTTGAGAATGATGATGGCAACAAATGTACAAATGTGCTTGACACAATGGATCTGTGCATGGATTGTGGTTAAGAATTGTAAAAACCCCCAATAAAATGATTTTTTTTAAAAAGGCACTCCAAACAAGACTGCCTCCTTGAGAGTGCAACCAAACGAGATCATATCTGGAATATGTAAAACTAGAGAAAAGGCTGCAGCCAAGTTTAGAGCACTGACTTATCAATGTATTGTATGAAACTATAGCATTTTGATTAATGAGTCATAATTCAATCACTTATGGATATTATAAGTAAATCTTACATGGCACACAAAGCTTAAAAGACAATTTATAATGAATATTCATTAGCTGCAATGTCAACACAAAATTAATCTTCTAGATGAATTTATAGCTTTTACTTCTACTCCCACAAGATGACTAAGAATACTCTTTTTCCCCAATAAAATTATGTTTAAAAAAAAACATTTTCTTTTCAAAAATATCTTAATACTCACTCCATTGTTCACTAATTCACTTGGTGTTGGCCAATTTGCCATGTCGCTGAAATCACTAGCCTACGAAATAATAAACAAATTATTCACAAATAATTGTTATGTCTTAGTTTTCAAAGTTATATATAGAAACTGCCTCATAAAGGTAAAAGTAACTTTTTAATAACGCTACATTTAATTATATATGCAGACATTTGCCAAATTAAACCAAAAGTCACTCCAAACAGAACATTTTGAAGTAAAACTGCCAGGACTTATCAAGTTTGTAGCACAATTTAATTAATTGAAATTAATTATAAATGACAACAAAAGAGCAGTTTTGGGTAAAAATGACCAATTCCCTAGTACATTAGGCAAACTAATATCACTGATCAATAACAGCCCCAATATAATTTACAGTTAAGAACTACTTATAAACACATACCTTATTACTTTTCTTTGCCTTGAGTTTTCCTGCTTTTATAATTTTAGGGGAATTGAGCTCTAAAAAAAAGAAATAGTTTTATTTGTTTTTTTTCAATCACTTCATTCAATAACAAAATAGCCACACTGTACCAAAATCAGTGGTCAGTGTATTCATCACTTCTAACACTCCAAAGTTCTAAGAAGGCTCAAATTCATAACAACAACAACAAAAAAATCAACCACTTTTAACACAATGATTCAAATTGGTCTTTGGTGCCCAAATCAAGACATGGATATAAGTTTACTTGTATTGAATTCGCAAGCCAATCCATTAATTAACAGAATACAAACTATTACATGACAAAATTAGAAATAAAATGTTTCAAAGTGAAAACCAAATTATTTCTAATGGAGTATGTTTCCATGCATTTAATATTCACCAAGCAAGAAGCACTCATAAAATAGGTCAAAAGACTTCAAACTACTTGTCCTAGAAAACAATCAGATTTGGAGATCATAATAGGTTGTATCTAGATTCAAGTCATAGAATTAATGATCGCTGCAAAAAACTGCACAAAATGAAGAAAGCTGATGGTGCCCGGCTATCAAAAGATATAGCGTCTGGGGTCTTAAAGGCTGGAAAGTAATCAAGCGGCCATCTAGGTCAAAAGCAACAAAGCCCACATGGAAGAAGCACACCAG